CCTGAGGAAAGAAGATTTGGGACTCAGAAAGCAGTCCCTCCTACCAGACTTCACAGCACAGTACAAAAACTGGCACAACTAGTTCCAGTAGAGCTCTAGTCTGTGATCTCATTAGAATCGCTCAGAGTGTAACATGGGAAAAGTTTTAAATAATTTTTAAAAAACATACAACTTTGTAACATTTATTTCCTCCTCTTTCTTAAAGAGCCTGGGGTGGGGAGAGGTGGAACATACGCATGTGTTTGTTTCCCCATCCTTTGGGCATTTACAAGGACACATATCTCAGAAAAGATAGGAAAGCAAAGAGTATCAGCCACTGAAGAATGCAGACAGATGCATGCTGAGAACAAACTCCTCTCAGTTCCTCCCCACAGACTCATCTGGAGGTTTCACAAACTTGTTCTTGAATCATTATTTCAGAATTTGTTGATAAGCAGCAGGATCTTGTTAGTCATCAGCAACTGGAGTTGTCTAAAGAACAGTGAGAGACTCAGGTACAGAAAGAGGATGCAATTGTGAAACTGTTTGTTCGTTTGTGTATTAAAGCTACTTGTATGGACAAACAAGGACATGTTGCAAATACTCTGATTTTGGCAGCAAATGGGTGACACTGATTGTCTTGTGGGTGTTGAATACTCCAATTTTTTAAATTAAAACTGTTCTTTTATTCATTTGTTTGAGTTGGCTGTCTCTGACTTCCAACTTCATCTATCATTTAATTAGCTTTATAAGATAAATGAGTTCATAATATGGAGGTACACAAAAAGAAAAACTGTCAGTTCTATTTTAAAATCTTACTTGTTCTTTGTAGGTCACTTTTAAATGCTTATCCTCATTTGTATCTTTGGTAGATGGGAAGAGTACGTTTTTGCATTGAAAGATAACTTGACCATCTTGCAAAGTTTTCCGCATTAACCGGAAGGCTTCTTTGCTGAAAATTTCCTGCTGTTTTCAAGAAACTGGAAGAACAGCACTACAGACTTTAAGTGATATATAAACAAAGTATAAGTGCTAAAAAAATTTGGAGCTTCAACAGACACTTATCTGTGCTGCTACTAAAAGATGTTTCATCTATTTGTATCTGGGAGTAAAAACTCCTGAGCCAGGACTTGAAGATAGTCCAAAATGTAACTGTTGTTAGTTACAGGCTGTCTTTTCTCTTGAAATTAATGTTACTGCTATCCTGCATACCCTTTAATATATCTGATAATCCTCATGTTGTCTTCTTGACGAACATACTTTACTTCTTAATGTGCTCTGGATCTTCAGTGACAGCCTCGCTTTTCTTCTTGTCCTCTCCCCTCCCTCCAAAATACATCTTTGTGCATTAGAATATTAAGGAGAGGCCTTTATACAAAAACTGTTTAGCTTGATGAGACCTATTTATTCAGTATTTAAAGTTAGTTCACTCAGTAAAAAAAACCCCAACACTTATTTTTTAAGGAAATATGCTAGTATATGTGTCTAAAGCACTCTTAAACTAGTAGAGCTGAAGAATGAGGGTTTATTTTTATTATAAGCATTCCTGTCAAATGCTTATATACTGCCCATTAAATCTGCAGAATGGCAGATTTAGTGCTTTAGATCCTTTAGTGCTTAAAAATAAAAAGTGAAAGCATATGCATCCTATATCATAAATATGAATAATATGAAAATGGATTATATGAACATTGCAATTAAATTGTCATTACATAGGAACAAAGCTAGGATCTAGAGAAGGCCAAGTGTGAGTCACCAATGAGCTTCTAAATGTATCTTCCAAGAAGACTACCTATGAATAATAGGGAAATGTCACAACAGTGAGGGATGCTACGTTTGTTCCCCAACAAGTCAGCAGATCTACAGTTTCAGGACTAAAGGCGTGCAAGGAAAGCAGATCATTGTTTACAAGTATACGGCAATAAAATAATCTTTGTTTGGCTATAAACCTTTCAGACAAGATGAACAAACACCTCTTTACTTTACAAATAGTTCTTCTGCATAGTAGCTGTCTTGAGTTGTGGCCTTTGTTTGTTAAGCATGAGGTTTTTCTGTTTCTGGACTGTCTGAAGAAAGTGCCTGCATGTTTAGGTAAGTGATGCAGTGACTTTCTCAGACAACTGACTTTAGTTATCTACCTGATTTGTAGGGAATTGAGTGTGCAATGCTAACTACAAATTCTACATGATTGAAAACAAAATACATTATAGTTTTCATTTTTCTCTTATAAAAATTTGTCCTGAGCTTTCCACAGGCAGAGCCTGTGTATATAAAATACCAGAGCAATGGAAAGCGTACATGGATTTAACAGTCTAAGGTATTACGAAGGGTTTTACAGGTCGAACCGTGCAATATAGATAAAACAAACCTCCTGGGTTCTCTGTTGTACACGTGGGGGGAGAGGTGCTGCTTCTAGGTGTGCCAACACTAACCATCATTTGTGATACACGAATACCTGAACCAGATTATACACCTGGAAGTAGCCACATCAGAAATTACCACAGTGCATCGTCTGCTCAATGTGACGAAATGGCAGGTGCTGACTTTCACTACCACTGGCTACAGCCAACGGCGCCAGCCAGTTTAAGTTTTAAATACTTGGGCTTTGCTATGCTACAGGCCTATGCAGATCGCAGGTATTAACCTGTATCTCTACCTGTATTAATGACAATGGCAGGGGAAGAGGACTGTACTGTGGTTTCTTTTTGACCTTAGCATGGCAGGCAGCTACATGGAAAACAACTCATAAGCGGTACAAAACCTTCTCCCTTTGTGCTTAGTTTCCAGAAATGAATGCTATGATAATGAGACGATTCAGTAAGCCAGGAGACGTTGAACGGGCTCGGAAATATGTGTTGCAGGTAGGACTGATACCAAGTATTTAGTTCCTGAAGTGCTGTCCCTGCTGAAGTCAGTCTGCAGTTAATTGCCTCTGAAGTGAAATAGCAGGGCTGTGTTTTCAAATACACGTGAAGTAGCATGCTACGTACAGTACCAAGCTAGTACTCTTTAGCTTTCTTACTAGCATGCTGTTTTAGCAGAAATTCTAGGTACTGAAGAGCTTTTTTTTCCTGTCCAATAGTATAAAATCCACATAATAAAAGTAAAAAGTTCATGCATGAACTCAGTTCCTTCATCTGAATAGTAGCTGTATCCAACAACTGGTGTAAGCAGCACGTAATTACCAGTCAGTCTTATAACTGGCAGCACACACCCCATACCAGTTTTAATTGACTCTGGTCTGAAAAGACTGAACAATTGTCTGTGCAAAATTAATACCTATTTTTTCAGCATAGCATGGTTTTTTGTATTTAGGCAGGAGGGGAGGGGTTAAACCATTAGTTTCTAATCCTACTGAATAGTATGTTATTCATACCAGTGTTGTTTTGTAAGTATACTTAAGTTTAGCATGGATGAGTTTTAGTATTTTGACACACTGGGCAAGAGATGTAGGATTCAATGAATGTAGAATGAATCCTCTTCCTTTCCCCTTCAGAATATAATTAAGTGTTCAGGGTACTTACTGACCTTAAAACTTCCCCCTGTAACTGGAAGAGGCAAAAGGCAGGAGGGAGGCTGACCAGTTCCCCATTACCTTTAACTGTCTTCTTATGCAAGAGTGATGGTGTGCAGCAAACTACCTACCTCGCCCAGCGCTACTGCCATGAAGCTACAAGAGAGATCAGTAAACTGCGGCCATCTCCTGAAAGAGAAGCCCTGATTCAGCTGACGGAAATGGTACTCATGAGAGACAAGTGAGAGGATTCCTTCTACTCCTTCTGGCAGCTATATACCAGACTGTGCCTCAATTTACTTCAAAAGTTATTTGCTTCCAACACAGGCTACCAAAAATTATTTTTTTTAATTTTTTTTTTAAGTTTTTTTTTTTTTTTTTAAAGTGAAAGTTCAAAGTGTTTTATTGTGGTAAGCCACACAATTCAGAGCAAATCAAACTGTGCTAGATGATTGTTTTAGTGGGGGCTGTTAATTGTGGGGGGTAGGGCAGATGTTTACATGGTGATGCACAAAGGCCACAATGAGAATAAATACAGGTCAGTGTATGAGAACTGAAGTTGTTCCAAATTTCATTTGTTCACACTAACAAACAGAGCATGCATGTTACTATCTGGTAAACTCCTATGAAGAGAGATGGTTTGAACGCTTTCCTGACTGTTAAATTACAGAAGTTAAATACTGGAATTGTATATATGGAAATTGGTTTATTATAAAAGACTGTATGTAGCCTCTAAGTGGATATATACATCAATGAGAAGTTTTCCAATTCCTGATGAAATATGGGTATGCTACTGGTTGCTACTTGCTAGCAGTTAACAAGATGCAGAATTTGAGATTGCTACAGTTAAGAAAATGAAAGGCTCAGTATCTCTAACACACTAAAAATGAATGATTCAGCAGCCAGTCAAAGCTTCAACTCCATCACCTTCCATCACTCATTTATAGAGTTTATTCAATACCCTTCTAGGAGTCTGCTTTGAAGTCCCAGACACGTTCCTCTTCCAGCAGTTATCCAGTACTACCACATTCCTTTTCAGGTTATTTAAGCCACAGAATTTGTAGAACAGGGAAGTACCTCATCTCTAACTATCTCTGCCTGTGATCCCTTAGCCCAGTGGCCAAGTTCCTGTCATGTTTGTTCCCCCTTTGTCATATCTTGAGGACAAGTCTGCTGTCTCTGCTCAGCTGGGCACATCACCAAGCCAGATACAGATACACTGAGAAATGTAAGTTACGGATGGCGTCCAACTTACTGCACCTAGACAACTAGATTCAATCAAGAATCCTTGCTCAAAATAATTTTGGAAGAAAAGAACTGTTAAGAGTATGTATAAATGTGTAATTCAGGTTTCATATCTAATTTATTTGCCCTCTGTCAGTGATAAAGTCATGTTACAAACATTTGCTTTTCAGTACATTTGCCTGGGATAACACAGCCATGATTTTGCTAAGTTAGCATTCCAAACTTCTTTGCCAAGCCAACCAACAAAGTAATGGACAAGACCTTTGGTTCACTTATATATTTATGAATGGAAAAAGTCATAATGTAAATTTACTCATTAAAAAAACTTGGGTACAAATTACACATACATAAGACCACCCATTTTTTGATTCACATGGACACCTTAGACCCAAACAACTCATTGTAATAGACTTTAGTGAGAATACTCCAGGTAAAGATTACAACAATTGGAAGCATCTTGGATTTTTAAAAAAGTATATTTCAATACATAAGTTTGTATGCATGCTTTAAACAAATATAGTTCAAGAATGAGCAAAGAGTCTAAACAAAAAGTAATATGACCAGCACTAACATTAAACTTCTCATCCAGATTTTAATATGTTAGTCTAACGTAGTGTTAGTTACCATGCTGTACTGAAAAATGTAATGGCACAATCTGATCATGGTTCATTAAATATTATACCCTACTTCCCCAGAATATTTAGGCTGGTCATAAAATTAACAATGCATAAGTAAATAAGTATAACCAGTTATAGACAGTTGCTTGTTTTACAAATTGCCATCAGGTGAGACATACTGCCTCCAGAGACTTAGAGAGATGGACATTCAATCATACCATTAAAACAGTATGGCCTGAAGAAATGGGCGCATTTTTTTTTAAGTATATTAAGACATTTCTGTTAGCTTTCAGTTACCCCTTGTGAACAATCATGGTATGACTGAATACAAGACCCAACTTTGAAAAGCAAAGGATTTTAATCGGCATAGTGCATGATTGATTCAACATAATTCCCAGGAAACAAGCCAGTTACTCGATTGCAAACTCCTTCATACCAGCCGTCATCATTCTTCTTTATCACATAAATGATTGCACCCTCCATAAACGACAGCTCATCGTCTTTGTCCTTTGTATAGTCATATATAGCAACAACTGTGGATTGAACAGGGACATGTTTAGCATTTTATTAATAGCACCAGTATTAACATTTTTTGAAGTACAATTATTTTTTAAGAGACTAGTTTGCTGTCCAGGGATTTTCCTTAATGAAATGCTTTCCCCGTTGAAGTCCAGAAAATGAAATTTCACTTTTCTTGCAACATTAGCTACCAGTAAGAAGTGGGTGGTGACTACACTGAACGCTCAGTTAAACTGTTCACAGAGAGGTACAGGTGACCGCAACACAGTAAAGCAGAGCATACGGACACTTAAAAGCTGAACTATGAAATAACTGGCTCCATGAGTGGCAGTCATTTCTGGTCAGATTACCTCAAAAGCATATAGATCCCTGTGTAGGGATCTCTTGATTACAGAAAGCCTAAAAAAAAAAATTTAAAATAATCAATCTGTAGAAAAGGACCAATAGAAAAAAAATTCTATGCTATGGCCCCTGCAGCTATATAGCTGCATGTACTTTAGTGTATGGTCTTGTAAACATAGCTGCTTAAAGCCACTGTACAGGAGTGGATGGTCTTTGCTACAGAGCTTCTATGTGATAAGAAGTTTGGCGTTCCTTTTCAAGGAGCTACAATGAGTGCAAGTATAAAAGTTATTGTAGGAAAAAGTAGAAGCAAATTTACAGCAACGTCAGCTATTTTTCAGTAGCTGCTTGGTGAATACATCACTCTTTCCAACCTCCAACTCACTGTGGGCAATTAAAGCAGAGATCTCCCCAAGGAAAGTACACATCGCCACCAATAACACTGGAATTAAAAACTGCCACTATGAATACACAAACTTTGGACATCGCAGCCTTACCCTTCAAAACAGTTGATATGGATTTATGCAATTGATCAGTTTTATCAATTCCAAGAACCTACTATTTTACAAACACATATTCTCAGAAATCTGATGCCTTAATGCCTAGCGAATGATGATGCAGTGTATCGGTTATTTTCATCCCATGGGTATGTCCTGCAATGCAGTCCAGCTAGGAGTGACAACAGAACACAGCAGTTCTGCCCAGACAGGTATCACAGGTACCCTACCCCATTTCATATGCACTACAGTACCAGCCAGAGCATGAGAAAACTTGCAACACTGCTGTTGGCAAAATGGTCATTGTCAGAACACAGACAGCTCTACAGGCAGGAAATCAGCATCTCAATTATTCATGGGAAGAGACATTTACCATACAAGTTCATACCTAAGCAGAGTTTATAGTCTGCTGATCTAGAGTCACCGATAAGTCTCCAAGGACGCCTCACTACATTTTATAGTTGAAAGGCTCATGATCCACTCTGGCTATCTAGTTTGATGGGATAAATAGAGCTCGGACCTTCCGGCCTTTCTGCAACACTATTTCTAGATGATTGCCCAGCAATCCTGAGGTAGCTACGGACACAGTCCAGCAGCTCAGCAAAGATGAAAGCCATCTGATTTACATCTGCTTCTCATAGCGAAGGATTTTTTTTTATCCATTCTACAATGCTTGAAGGTATTTTATAATCCTTCCAAAGAAGGATTATATTTTATCACATTAGGTGTAACCACAGACAAACTAAGAAAAGAACTGTTCAAGTTCTGACTTAGCAGGGACAATGATTGTTTTCATCAGACTCAAGCTAAGTCCTTCATTCCCTTTAGATAGCGTTAATCCTCTGATACTGCAGTAACACAGAGTTGCAACGCTTCTCTTACCTTTCTCTATATAGTTTTTAGGTGCCCAAGCAGGATCTCCATCTGCATAGGGATCACTGTACTGCACAACAGCAGCCTCCTCATCCTCATAATCCACGGGGGGTGGAGGCGGAGGAGGAGGAGAGTCATCAAACATCGGCATCTCATCAGGAGGCGGTGGTGGGGGAGGAGTCGGGCTATCAGCAACTAGAAATATTTGGAGATTTTTTTTTTTTTTTTCTTAAATCAAAACAGTGTGGAGATGCAAACAAACCTGAGGCTGTACACTGTAAATAAAAGGGGTGGGGGGACAACACACATAGCATGCACTATAATACCATGCACTGATTAGAAACAGAGGCTTTGTATTAACAGCTACAACATACAACTACATTTGTTATTAGTGGTCAAATCTATGTATAAATGCTACTAGAGTCAAAGCACATGCTGCAGGGCATAAGCTGAACACCAGCAGAGAGGAAAACTTCCTGCTCCGACGTCCATGCGCTGAGGGGCTAGCTGCAGCGGTTAGCTATGGGAGGACTCCGAGTGGCACCCTCTGAGCCAGGCAGCAACAGGCCTCTGGACTGGACCAGCAGCTTGATTATTTTTTAACAAATCCTTTGTCTATAGCAATCAATTTATTTCTGAACACTGCTTCCTCGGATTCCTTTTCTCTCAGAACTAGCATTAAGGGGACAAAAAGATCTGGTGTGGATCACAAAAAAGGGAAGAGACTGGTGTTTAAGATTTAACCAGGTAAGAGAAAGCCAAGTAATCCTTCTGCAGAAGAAAAGCTTTGTACTGATCCTTATCTTGCAGACTAGCTTGTGTGTGTGCACATATCCAGGATTCAATTAATAAATGGAAAAATACAACAGGCAGCTGCTGCTCTTGGGGAAAAAGTGCTCAAGGAATTAAGTGTATAATCCAAAATGTCAAATCCCTGCCCTGAGATTCTCCAATCAGCACAATTACAAGTTGCTTTGAGAAAGGGAAAAAAAGAAAAGCATTGTGGTACAAATCACTAACAATCACTTCATCAAATTAGTTTTCAGTAACGTTCACAGCAGCTGGCAGCAAAGGAGAGAGAGCACACTCAGATGCAAGAACTTCAAATCGCTTACCCTATTCCTTGGGAACTATGGTCCGCTATACACAGACCTAGGTGTAAGCACTATGAAGCCAGAGTTACTGAAAGGAAGCTAATGTCACTAAACTCCACTTTGTTATATAGCAATACAGATTTAATTACAAGATATTTGGGAGTCTGCACATTGAAAACACAGGCTGAAAAACACTGCTCTAGAAAGGGTTTGACTGGAAGGAGCCATCAGGCTGGGCATGTGCTCCAGAACGTGTAGCTCCAGCATACTACACTAATTTTGAGAAGAAAGCCAAGCTGCAGGGCAAGGAAAGAACCCCACTGAGTGAAGCTTTAGCTACTGCTAGTTACAATGGCACTGGAGATTAGCAATAGGGTTTCTGTTTGCTTTAACGCTTTTTACTTTTGCCTGGCCACTACTCCAGCAGTGACCAACTTTGGCTCTTCAGCCACACGCCCCTGACAAGGGGCTTGAGCATAGTTCCTGTGTCCTAGCCCAGTCAGACTGCTGCGCTGGTACAGGGGAAGCCAAATCTCCTGCTACGAGGGGGCAGAAGCCAGCAGGAGCTGGTGGGGCAGAGGCTGCCTCAGCCCTGGCACCCAGCCCACTCTCTGCCCCCCGAAGAGCTCATGCTATTCTTCACCTGCGAGCCCAGCTCCTCTTTAACTTGACCAGCTGAGCTGTATACTCCACAGCTCTCTCCATCAGTGAGACTGGCTGCTATTGTATCAGTGATTCCTCTCCCATACAGAAGCCCGTTTATGTCACTTGGAGACAGACTAACAAAGTCTTTGGCTGAGTGAACACTACGTCTTGCCCGTGTTACTGAATAGTACTCACAGGCAGGCTTCATTAATCCACCACAGACACATGACAACACTGTTTATGAATGGATTGGTTTTGTGCGGTAGTTTCGGCACATCCTTCACAAAATTTATTTCTCCCCTTAATTTCCATCTGCAGCCAGGAAAAAACCCAGTGTTGAAACAACAATCCTTTGAGATCTTGAGAAATCCTTACCTTAATAAATGCAAAAAGTCGTATTTATTCAACAATGAAGTTGCTTATTTGAGAAGAGGGCAGGAAGAGCAAGCGTGAAAGTGCCCACAAATACCCTAACTGAGATGCAGTGCAGAAACTGCATGCTTTATGGGAAACATTTAAAACAATTCAACTTCACATTTAAACAAGGGGAGAGAATAGAACAGAAATTTGACAAGTGCCACCCCACGGAAGTATTCCCCTGCCTCTTGGATTTTAACCTAGACTTTTCCTGGTTCTGAACTTAAACCAGGCATACTCTAGAATAGCATTACTTTCCCTAAGGGGTGGGGGGAAGCATACAGAAAACCACACTAAATGAGAAAGGTAAAAGGACCAGTATTTATACAGCTCCAAACTGAGACATCTTCTCTTGCATGTATTCACATCCCTGTTCTTTAAATGGGGACCAGCAGACTCCTTTTGAAAGGACTGGGTGTGACAGCACAGCAATTTACATCCAATCAGCTGTCCCTGGGCACCGAACACACTGGAAAACCTCTCTGAAGGAGATACCCACAGTTTGGGCACAGGGCGCAGGAAAAAAGAATAGGCGTTGCATAGTTTCTAAGCCCTCTGTCTTTGTCCTCTGAAAGAAGTCCACAGGGCAGAGGATGTTGCTTTCCAAACCCAGAGATCTTTATGATAAGGAAAAGACAAGCCTACCCACATGTCTCCATAACTCCACACCCCCGTAGACTTCTTGCAGAAAGTGAGGCAGATGAAAATCTAGCACGCAATGCCAAAACTCAACAACAGCCTCTACAGCCAGTTTTGCTGACCATATGCGCAGACTGCCACATGCACCCCTGCCTCCAAAATGAGGCAGCAGCAGCTCAAAGCTGTACTCGTCATATAACTTTCAAACCTAAGGGACTGTTAAAAGAAAGAAAATAAAAAGAACAATTCCTATGACCAGATTTCAAGCTTCAGCTATTTTTGCTGCAATCTCATTCACAAGTCAGCTTGCATTTCGTTGTTGCACACACGAGTAAGTCTGTCCCTTTCACCTCCACTCTCCCAAGGGCTGTGTTATCTCCAGGAGGACAATACTTGGAACAATTCAGAAGCAGGTGTCAATTTTCTCAAGTTTATCTGCAAGTGAAGACATTCTGTAACCTTCATCTTCAGTAGGTTTACCTCTATGCTTTGAGTTTTGGAAAGGTTTGTCAACACAATTTTGTGGCATGCTATTCTACATCAATATGATCCTTACTATTCTACATCAACATGATCCTTACTATTTACCTACCACAACACCAAAATACCTTCTTTTCGAATGAGAACCAAAGAGATGCCTCCTATCTCTAGGGGAATGCTCAGAACATGACCACTTAAAAGTTCTAATGGGAAGCTGAACAGCTGCACTAGTCAGATCTGGGGGCCCCTAAATGTGTGCTGGAGCTACATTGCTACTATGTAGTGGTAGCCCCTGAGATCCTAGCAGACTTCACTATGGCTCCCAAACACCTTAAAAATATGTTATACTTGCTTCATGCCCTATCTACGTTGCATTCATTCTGTTGTTTACAGAACTGCAGTCTACTCCTACAGCAAAGATGTCCCCAGATCAGCAACATGACTTTACACCTGTACTAGCATTTGGGACAGTAACACTCACCTGAAATGAATCAAGCAGTAATGGTAAAAGCAGAGTTACCAGTATAAAACACCTTGCAGCACAGATCATAGCCAGGGAGCATCTCTCACAAACCTAACAAGTGGACCTATGCTGCAAGAAGCTCAGTAGGGAAATCTGGCTAGAGGACACAAAGAAATGAAGAATGAAAGGCTGACGAGAGGAGAAATACCTTACAAGCTCCTTTGTAATAGCATTAGATTGTAAGACTGCACATTTTCAACTGAGTGTACAGCTTCCTGAAAACTACGACAGCATTAGAGTCAACGGTTACACAGGACATATTTTGACAGTCTACATAAGCCTTTCTAATAAAAGCTAATCAATTACCCCTAGTGAAGAAGCCCCAGGCAGGATGATTCAACATTTAATTAATATTTTTAATTAAGATACATTTCTACATTCACACCAAGCAGATGCCACGTATTTCACACTGTATTTCTATAATAAATTTGCAGTTCAGAACTTAAATGGGTCAGTAATAATCATGCACATGTTATAAAATATTGAAGAGTGTGCCCTTCAGCTCCAATAGCATATTGACACTAGAATGCAAGATGGTATTAGCTTCTGGAAAAGGAAACAAAATAGAGTCTGACTTGCCAGCCATGCATGCTAGAAGAAAGTATGCTCTACCCTTTAACAGCTCAGCTTATCCAAACTTACTGTTTTCCTGCACCCTGGCCACGAAGCCTGTGAGAGGTATCTGTGGAGTCAACTGAGGCATAGGGGGAGGGGGTGGAGCAATAGAAACTGGTAGCAACACACACACACACACACACCATATCGGGAAAGTTAAACAGACAAAGGGGAAAAAAGAACAAAAAGAAAAAAAAAAGAAACAAACAAAAGCAGCCGTCAGTAACGAGGACCACAAAACAAAGTATGTAAAGAACAACAAGAACACACACACAGAAGAACCTTCTTCAAGCTTGTGTTTCCAACAAGGCTGAATTCGTTCGCCAATTGGTTAGCCAACTGAGGATCAAAAAGCAAAGCATGCCCCTGTGTTTAGCTGAACAAAAGTCTGAGCGCAGGCTGTGTGTCTGGAAGCTCACAGGGTGCACGTGTGAAGGGACTTGCTCCACTTCAGTTGGGGAGCACACAAAACTGGGCTTTTTGTCTTGCTGCCAAGTAAGGATTACTCAAATTTAGCAGTTATCTTTTAGAAGTACGGTACTAGAAGTAGAGGTGATGTTTCGCAGGATTCTGGACTCCTCCTCTAAGAGCAGAGTAGAACACTACATCAAGCGCAGCAAAGCAGCACTGACACAAGGCAAAGACAACTACTTTACAAGGGAAACAATGCTGCAACATACAGAGAACACCTCCCGTAATTTTGTTCTGCTGGGGCGGGGGGCAGTGGATTGGCTTACTATGTTTTTGTTTTACATAGAAAAAAGGACCTTGTTGCTTGTTGGCAGGAAAACCAGAAGGGTTTAGAGCAGAATGGAACTTTATTTTAAATTATTAAGTCCTCTGTGGTTAGAGGCAGCCAGCAGCCTAAGAGGCTGGCAAAGGCTTTAACAGCTACAACTGGCTACACTAGTGCACAGAGCTCCCCAGGAAGCACTTGCAAGCTTCTCTCCTCTGAAGTATGTACCTATTCGGTGAGTAATGAGATGTGGGACACATGGCACCAGTGCTCAGAGATGCTGGGCTGACAGCTGAGATGTTCAACTCTTCCCTCTACAGGTAGGAAAGAGGCGTGGTAGCAGCAGGGCATGCCATTCAAAGTATCAGCTCTGGCAGGACATCTCCCCGTGAAGGGTGGGGGAAAGAAAAAAAAAGAAGAAATCCAACAAAACATCAACTCATTTGTTTATACCGTGCCCCTTCTCAGTATAATTTCTCTTGCACTGAAACAGAGAAATTCCTGTGAAGGTGGGAATTCAGCAGGGCAATCCAGTTGGAACCAAATTTGAAAGAGGTTCTATACTTCCAAGTAAGCAACAGTTTTAAATAAAGCCATAACTAAGATTAATGTTCGATGAATAAAAATGGAGCATTTAGTTCATTACAAAACCAATAATCAAATAAACTGTATGGGAGAAATGATCAATAGAAGAGGGAGAACAAACAGGTTTCTCACAAAATTGAAGTAAACATCTAAGAAAAAAACAGAGTATTTGTTAGCATGGAAAGTAAAACCTTAAGGAAACATGGGACCTGGATTTAACGTCAAGACAGTAGCATTAAAAAATAAATAAAAAAATAAAAATCACCAGTTACAAGAAACAGAGGAAAACAGTTTAAAGTAGAAAAACACACCCATCAAAATACTGTTTAAAAAATGCTGACAGTCAGTATTTTGAAAACACCAGAGAGGCTAGATTAAGGAACAGCATCTGCATTTGAGCAAAAAATTGCTTCGGACAAATGTAAATGTTCAGAAACAGTGGTGTGCACAGCCTTTAAGACATCTGAACTATTTCCAGAAGTAAAGCCCTGTTTATTCAACAGAACATAACTGTTCAAACAGGAAGGAGTTTCTGTTGTTATGGTGAATTAATTTGGGGGAACAAGAATGTGGAGGAAAATGAAGGGCCAGTATGGGTGAGAGAGAACAGGAGGAAAATCAGGATCGGAGGGAAAAAAAAAAAAGATAGGTACTGTGTCTGCATATAAAAATGCTTTCTGATAAATGTAATACTTCTAAACCACTGAGAAAACTCTTCACCTCGGTGTCTCAAACATTTTATATGTATTCTTTCTTTAAGAGTAAGTACACAACAGCGAACACTGGTCCAAAGTGATCTTCAGCCCAAACATCAACATTTCTTTTTAAAAGAAATATCACTCTGAAGTTTAAAGAGTTGGCACACTGAAGAACACCACCAAAACCCATTAGAGGACTATCACTCCTCTACATGTATCTGGTCAAAATTTGTGGAAATGGCAAGGAAGATGTTTCCTGATAGAAACAGCTTTTACCAACACTCAAGTAGATCCTGATTTTGCAGATCCTTCTGCAGTGAACCTCATTTGCCCTGTTGGGTAGGTAGGCAGGATGCTGCTGACTAAAACCTGCTCACTTGCCCATGACATCCATCCCTTCCCTCATTCATCTCCATCTATACTACTACTAGTGTGGAAGTACGGAGGAGTCATTTGCTAAAAAGAGAGAAACTGAGCTCTTCTTTAACAGTCAAGCTTAAAACTAAGAACAAAGGAGAAACTCGGAATCAGGAAAGGATTTGGGAGAGACAGAGACAAGGAGGAACTGTGTAATGGGAAAAGTTTGTTACATGAGCGCTGTGCTCTGACAGTACTCTCTTGCCACTAGCCCAGTAGTGGAAGGACTGTACTACAACCATATTAGGTCTCCTGCAAAAAAAAAATCTGGTTTTAGTTTATGTTCTCCAAGCACACCTGAAATGCTAAGTATAATGTGCCTATAATTAGATAGGCAATCATAATAATTTCTTGTCATGAGTAACAGCAAACAAGGCAGAGGGGAAAACAGTATAATTGCATATAGTGCAATCACTGTACAACTTCAATATGGTTTTTCTTGTTTGTTTTTCCTTCTATTTTAGGAAAGAAAGCAGTAATTTGATTGATGCTCTTCATAAATGAATTAAAATGCCATGCATGCTTTTACAATCATTTTGCTCAAAACAGTTTGTGATTTCAGAGCTCAGAAGCTTACTTGAATTTTGAGAATAAAGAGGCCCGCCATTAACATGAGGTTGAGCAGAAAATGGGGCAGTCACAGAAGGATTCCGTCTGTATCCACCAGAAGATGCTGAAGAAGTGGTAGAGTTGTGTCGCGAGATTTGCCTGGTCATTGTGCCATACTGGGAACCAGGAGCTGAACCCGGAGCAGCTGAAAAGCATTAGCCAAAGGAACCAAGGAAAAGACTTAAGCAGAGCATTACTTGGGATAGAATGCAGAAAATAGAAAAAAGCCCAGAACATGGGAAACACTTGATTACAGGTCTCCAATAATTTAAGGCCAGTAACAGGAGATTAACAGAAAACAAACATCCCTGTTATAATCAATAATGAGGAAAAAACACACAGGACATAAACCAACACTCATATAAAGGGCATTTGAGAAATGCTAAGAACTACTTTGAGACACTGGATTGGACTGGAAAATAGAATCAGTTTCCAACTCCTAAGCATATCTCAATTCTACATGCAATACCCTTTATTAAAAAGCACACAGGAAAAAAAAAAATCCACATTCTGCTCAAAGCAAATGTTTTCCATTGTGAACCAGAACTTGTCTCCAATCTAATATAAAGACACTCTAACAAAACACTAAACGAATGTCATGAGCTTCAGACAGTTGGCACACTTATTGATCATATTTGCTAGTTGTGCTTTTATATTGATGGAATTTGCACTAACAAATCAGAATCACCGATGCCAGCTGACAGAAAGACGTCACTCATTCTTCAGGATGAACACCCATTTTTACCTTCCACATGTTTGCTGCACAAACTTCAAGGTTAATAAAACAGTAAGTTCTCTTTTGGATTAACCTCTGACAGGTAGAGAAAAGAATCACACCTTGCAAACTAATGAATCTCACATGTTGAGGTCACATGGATCAATGCAATTTTTAAATGCAAAAATTGTTTTGCAATAAAATGTTTTGTGCTTTTATATACATATGTATGTATCTTACATAAATATAAACAAAAATGCACACACACACACATATATACACAAACAGTGTGCGATCAGAAGTTTGCAGTCCTGTAATACTATCCAAAGTCACTTTCGCTTAACACTTCAGTAAGGGAAAGTGCAAAGGGTTATGTGGGTCAAAGCCTCCAAAGCTAGTTTCATAACACAATCAATTAATTTTGTCATCAGCCTGTGATAAGAAAGGGTGGGGTATTTTTTCCTGCCTGTTTTGAAAAGTACTACTTTTAGATCCCATCCTAACAGGTATATGTAATGCTTGAAGCAATTTTTCAAGAACTGTTAGTTCGTATCCTCATGTCTTCCAGCTTGCCACCCGCCTGCAGCGTTACAGAATCAAACCCAAGCCACTGTGACAGACACTTCTGCTTTTCAGTCACTTCACGCCCACAGGATAAAATACATACATCACCCTACAGATCAGCTACCACTTTTAAAGCAGTGTGCAACTGTTGTGGCTTAGTTTCAGCTGCAGGAGTGATACAGCAGAATACCAATACTCAAGCTGATTTTGAGTTCTTATAGATCACACTAATTGGATCTTAGCTTTATTAGGAGCAAAGATTTCAAGCAACCAAAAGAACCAGCAGACTTTTCCCCATACCTTGTGCATTTACCTTCAGAGGCTTTAACCACAGGAAATTAGTGGAGATTAGATTTGTTTAAAAACAAACAAAAAATCCCAGAACTGATTGTTATACTAAAATCACATAGACCCCACTACAGAAGAAAAAACACCCTAAATCCATTAGGAATAGATGATTATTGATTATGCAGCATGACTGCAATCACTTCAGCATTGACACAAGTCTCACCTATCAGACTGCCCATCGGGAGAGGTGGTGGCAGTGGTGGTGCTGGCGGGGCTCCAGGAGGAGGAGGAACAGAAATGTGTGCTAATAAAATAGTTTATATTCCCAATTAGGCCATATATTTAAAAAAAAAAAAAATGAAATAAGAAACCACGGGCACTTGATAGGCTTCCCAAACAAATACAGAAATTCAACTTCAGTCAACTGATACAAACTCAGGTCCTTATCCTCCACAGGGTTCTGTACCTGTAGATCTTTATTCCCATTGATTTTTATGGGATGCCAGATGATAGTAAGATTTCATGCCTATTTTGACCACTGCAGGATCAGAAACACCTGGGAAAGGAAAGCCTACATGTGCGTAAGCAAGTGAAGACTTGTCATCCAAGGAACAGATACTTAAGAGGTGCAACAGCAAAATTACATTACACCAAAACTCCACTGTTTTCTTCTGCAAATTAGCTTTATGTGCTTACAAAATACACAGATAATAAACAAGTGACTGAGTTGGTTTATTACCAAGATAATAATTCTGCTGGCTTATAATAAAGAAGGATCCTACACATTCTCACCATTCATCATTCTTGAAGACAAGGGATTATGCTTTTGATGCCAAGAGATCCTGCATGGTTCTCTTTTATTGCTGTGCTATCTTACACACGCTAGTTCTCCTGCCTCTCTCAATGATCTCCATCATAGCTTAGCAACTTCAGACTGTGATAGTAGCATAAACAACACTGGTGGATAAGCCTGAATTCTACTACTAATAGTGTTTTCGTACGTCATCTTCTGTGTTTTATTTGAAGACTTTTATTTAATTAAAAAAAAGAACATGTACATACCATCATTGGCAGATGGTAAGGTTAGCAGGCTATTTCAGAAGACAGCATTTCCCATCAAACATACAGAGTTGCTGCTGCTTCTCAGGGCATACAGAAATGCCAAACGGTAGACATGCATTTAAAAATATACTCATGCTTTAAAAGGGTACACCTCTCTCCTTCTATCCCCTTCCCCCCTTGATTATCTTGTAAAAACATGGATTGGCAGAGGTGTTTTAACAATCTACTATTCTATAATGATTGTTCTGCAAGTACTTTCAGTAAAGAACTAAAACTTGACACGTCCCTCAGCACTCATAAAAGATTTCCTGACTAGGATGGTGCTTCAGGACAGTTTCTACCCCATCATATTCAGTCAAAATCCCGCTGCAAACACAAGTGACTTACATTACAGCCTTAAGTTAACATGGGAAGAGTCCAACATACCTGGTCCGATGGTTGGCGGTGAAGGTGTAGGCACGGCAATGGGAATGCCAATACTGCTGCTTCCACTATTCTCTCGACTGCCACTTCCTCCACTACTACCGCTATAACCGAAAAACACAAGTATCAGCACAGCACTTCCTACAAAGACCTATCAACAGTCACACTTGTGCAAGCTCTGCTAGCCTAACTCAATTGTCAAAGACTGTTGAAAAATCCCCTATAAAATGCCTCTGTCTACCTACAATTGCATATAGCTAATCAAGTCTGGATGCATTACACTCCTAATAAATGAAATTAGCTAAGCTGATAAACATCACTATGCATAAAATGTCTAATTAAATGCTTTAAAAAATAAAAAGGTAAGCAACCATACCAGTTCTAGGCAGTGGAGTAACAACTGCAGGAATAGTTCAGAGGCCTTGTAATAATTGAAAGTAATAAGCTGGGGCTGGAAGAGTTCATGCTTAAACTATAAATAATTATTTAAGATTATTCATGCTGTGGGCTGAAGGAACATTTCTTCTACTCAGAACAGAAGTTTAGATTGAGAACTTTTTAACTGAGAACAGCCACAAGAAACCAATTGGGGTGAGATGTGGTGTGGATAATTTTCTGTATATCTAACACTCCCACCGCACATGCACACACTTTTTGTGTGTAAGTTTGTTTCTAAGATAGTCTGAAAGGTAACAGTACAGCCAGGTAACAATTTGTCTAAGTACTGTTATATGATATACAAATTAGAGGCCAGTGAATCAGATTTTTACAGAACATACTTCTAGTGAACTACTGGATAAGATTTCTACACATGCCTTTGGAGGCCATAACACTTCTTTTCATTGAGGAAGCTGAAAAAGAATCAAGATTCAGGTGGAATCTGTCCTTATTCTTAACCAAGAGCACTCCTTAGGCCAAGGCTTGAATTTACATGCATTAAATAGGTAATATAAAGGGAACTAAGTAGACAAGATGTTTTGAAGCCAAAACAGCACTTTAACTCATCCATGCTAATTAAAGAGTGCTCAGTGATGTTAAAGTTTGTTTACCATTGCTGAGTAGCTACAAATCAGTGCTGTCATGAGCCAAGTGCAAATCATTCAAATACATCTTAAGACAGTAACAGTGTTACAAAAAAGAAAATCAGTGATCTGAAATGGAAGCCAAGATAATTCCTTCAAAATTAGTGTTCTGTCTGCTGAAGACCTTGATCTTGTCACCATGGTTGCGGCTGAATTTCTAACTGCAGTCTACATAAAAGAAGATCTTGTGAGACAAGAGTAGGGAGCATTCACAGTAGCCAGCTAAACAGATTAACAAGATCTTCATTGCAGCCAGATTTAGAAGTTACTTCATTCTCACAGTATTTCATGATCAACTGTGTCCAAAATACTCTCTCAACCCCTGTTAGTGACCTACTGTGTTTAACTGCCTACTGGGAGTCTAAAAAACCAAAAACATTTAAGAAAGAAGCTCTCTAAAAATAAGCCAAAATCTTACTTCTAACTACACTGAATTCTTTGATCTGTTTTTTCCCTGCAGTTTGAAGCCTGTGATAAAAATCAAATTGAAAAAACTGAACTCACTCAGGAGGCTTAGAGAAAGATCTAGCCTTGCAATTTGAGAAAAAAATTACATTAAAAAACCCCAAACCAAACAAGGTTCACTTGGAACACCCTTCTCACTCAAAACACACACTACTCTTTCATCAAAGCCTTTAAGCATGTGGAAACAACCAGCTGATGCCAATACCTGCTCTGTGAATAGGTTTTATTTTCGACTTCTATCATGCTAGCACTGATTATGAGCATTAAGTTTTAGCCAAAAGAAAGCATTGGCAGTTTCAGACTACCTTCATCATCACAGTGTTTCTAATCAACAGAAATTTCCCTTTGCACTTAGTGGTCTTGAAAACAAAACAAAAAAAGCCCAAGTATATTTTAGGCTAAGGTTAATAATGCAGCTTTAAACCCATTTAGCACCCCTCACTACCCTACCTTGCAACTGCAGAAATTTTGAAGTTTTGCTTATTCCTGGGAAACAAATACCACAGAACAAAATATATTGATTATATGAAACGAGGCCTGTGGTTATGGAAGTAAGTTGCTAGATACAATGAGGCTTCTATAGAATATGAAGACACTTCTGTCTTAGAGAGGTCAACAATATGGCAAAGTTCTGTTAATGCAGAGCGGTAGAATAACTCACCTTTTGCCTTTCAACAAAAAGCCAACAGGCACAAAGCTTCAAAGCTTTTCTGTGACTTTAGTAAGCATCAGCATGCCAGGCAGGAAAAGAGTTACAGTGAGAAAACGCTCTACCTGTGAGTTCTTGGTCTCTGGTTCAAGGAAGCCGTCCTTCCTGGACTGTGCTGACTGCCCAGTCTGGCAGGACTGGTCATGTAATCATTGGGGACTGTTGGCGGTTTGACTGGCTCCAGGGTTTTGTAAGGAGTATTTCGTCTGGTCAAGTCAAAAAAAAAAATTGAAGACAGAAAGATAAAGGATCAGAAGATCAAAAGGATAAATGAATGAAGTAGTGAAGCCATTTGTTTTCTTAAGTTTTCATGGAGATCACTGCACAGTGACCCACATTACAATATATTAAACAAATTCCACCGGGTGGGGTAGACAGGTCACATTTAACTCTCTAAAGTGCTCTTATGTAGATAGATCCATAAAAGTTAGCTTACAGCACATAAGCTGATTTAAAAAGCCTAAACTAAATTTAACTCCCAAAATACATTCTTTGAACTACATAACATACAATAGTTACACCTGTGTAATATTCTGGGGTTACCTTTCAGTACACTGCACATGACAAACTCTTCCACTGTAACAATTTCCTCCTTCCTTCCTCCCTTCCCCTCCCCTTCAAATGCTTAACCATCCTAAAAGCATTCTTGGCTAAAGGTATTCAACTCATTAAGAAAGGAGTAAGGCTGAAAGATTCACAGAACGAGTTACATTTGCAATCACCAGTGCTTTTCCGAGTAGCATTGCTTCACGCAATAATCAAGCAATCTCGTATCACTTAAGCAGATCTTAAAGTGCTTCACAGATGAGCTTCATTGTGTCCATTTTGCAGCCCAAGACAGTGAAGCCCAGAGACTTCGAAGGTGACCTAGCAGACTGCATCAAGTCGGAAATACAACACAGATCTTTCGAGATCTATTTACCAGACTCGCTACTGCCTTAAGAACAGTGCGTTTATTGTACTGAATTGCAGAGCTCTTCAGTTCTCACCAGTAACTAAGAGATCCCTTGCAAATCATGGAATTTGGCAATGCACCAACTAAGCAAAAACAAAAATACAAAACTACTGGCATTTAATCATTTGTTCAATTACTGGTTATAACTGAGTTGGTAAGTTATATGGCTTCCTGGTATTTTAAGAAACTTACTGACTTCCTTTTTACAATATGGAATGCAACAGTACTAAATTTTAACTATAACATTTTATTACTAAAACGTCTCAAAGGGAAAAGTGGAAATACCATAATTGTTTGCATGCATTGTGGTGTTTGTAAATTTGTTTGTTTATATGAAGAACTCCAAATGATTTTAATATGCAGACTGCCACCACCTATAGATCTGCCAAAAAAGATCAGTCGTGGGAAAAATAAAGAAACTTGGTATTCCAGCTGTAAGAGATACAGCTCTAAATACGACCAAATCAAACGATAAGCAGGGAAGATTTTAAATCTGCTTGCAACGGAAATAACCTTGAAAACTAAAGTTTTGAATTATTCCACCTTGGAATGCACTGGCAATAGGAACTACTACACAGCTCTGTAATACTATTTATTCTGCCTGTACAATTTAAAAATACTGTCAAAAGCAAACCCTGACTACATCCTCAGGTTCAGCCATGCCTCAGTTTCTCCTTTGTTCTTCTCAGCCTCATTGAAGAACTCGAACTCTTAAGCACCAGAGAAGTAAAAAATAATTTCTTTCCATCACTCAAGTCCAATCCTTCCCTTTGCTTTTCTGCCAGCCTTACGCAAAGGAGGAAAACACTCTTT